CCCCCAAAAAAAAAAAAAAAAAACACCCTCACTGACCTTTTTCTCCCTGAGCAGGCACCTGGTTATCACTTTGGGTCACTCCCATTCCAGTGGAAGCTTCCACCTCCTCCTTTCTATTTTCCAAAACATGGGCATGATTCCACTCCCAAACCCCACACTCTAAATCTCGGATATTAAAGCATCCTCCCTTCTTGCTTGCCCTAAAAAAACTCTGCTGTGACAACAGCTCAGATGCCAAGTGCCCATGGGTCCCTATGGTCCTGAGATCATGGCAGGTTGGGGGGAGCTGAGCATCCCCTCCCTCTGCTGCCCCCGCTCCAATCCCAGCCCCAATCCTTTTCTCCCCTTCCCCTCCTCACTTCCAGGGCCTCATTCAGATCTCACACACACGATAAAATCCATCAACACAAACAAAGTCCCCCCCCATCCTCACTTCCCCCCCAACCCTGCTTGCAGGGATGCAGGGGAGGGGGCACAGCTCCTGTCCCCTGCTGGACCTCCTGCTGAGGTGTGTTCTGCATGAACTGTTTTTATCGTGTTTGTCTTCATCAGCAAAGCAAGAGGAATTTCACCTCCTCAAACAGGACAAGACTACGCTGATGTAAACCTGGCCCTTCACGTGTGCAACACATACTGCAGAAATAAAGGAGAAAGCTCCATGTCTGACAAAAACCCCTGAGGACGAAGTGTCTGTCTTTGGTGTTTGTATGCTTGTAGCAACGAGTTGAAGTCTCTTCAAAATCGTGGAATCGTGACAGTTGGAAAAGACCTCTTTGATGGTCAAGTCCAACCCCAACCCAACTCACTGCCCACGTCCCTCCGTGCCACATCCCCATGGCTCCTTTAGGATGAGTTAGGATGAGTGATCCCCCCCACCTCCCTGGGCAGCTGTGCAGTGCAGCACCACCCTTTTGGAGAAGGAAGGTTTCCTAATATCCAACCTGAACCTCCCCTGGTGCAACTTGAGGCCATTACCTCCATTACCACTCTGGTAGTGTGATGTCTGTAGGGACATGCAGGTCTGCCCAGCATGGCTGTCTCACAGGTGCCCACCACACCAACTTGTTTTTTGCAAGGACACCCCCTGACCTTTCTAATTTCTTGTCTATACGAAGGCTTTTCTCATTTACGAGCAGGAGAAAAATCCCTCATGGGCTAAAGCTGCAGAATCAAGGCAAGGTCTGTTCGTTTACCCCAGAGATGACAGAGCTTTCAGTAAATGCCTGGAAAATTTCCCTCCAGGTTCTGAGTACCACCTGCTTCCCCCCAGACCATCCCTGCCATCCCTGGGCAGTGAGGGCACTACTGCCTCACTTGAAGCCAATAAATCCTCCCTGTTTACCCCACACAGAAGTTACCAGAGAACAGAGCTCAGCTCCTTCCCATCAATTCCACTCACTGCCTCCATTACTGTTATTACTGTGATTAAAAAGCAATCAAAGAGAAATCTTTTTCCTGTCCTAAAATTGCTGCAAATGTCTCGGTTCCACCACTTAAGCATGAGAAGAGCAAGATACACACAAGCTCTCAGACTCTGCGATGCTGGAGAATGTAATGGAGCTGATCACCCGAGCAGCATCATCAGCAGCAATGTGGGGCTGCAGGAATGAACCTGACAGCTCAGGGAGCCCAGTGCCACATGCACAGCAATGAGCTTTGCAGCCTGAAAGCGTGACATGTGCTCAGGGCTCTGCTCACCCACTGCCTGGGGTTTGGGGCCACGGTCAGCTCTGTAACCCCAGCAGATCCCTGGGAGGTGGCATGGGGATCTTAGAAAGCCAGTGGGCTGCTTCTGGGCTATGCACTCAGGAAAGGATGATTGCACAGTGCCCTTTGGAGCAGCATCTTGCTGCAGCCTTGCTTCCATCATGACCCCATCGTGCATAGCTTGTGCACAAGGTTTGCTTGGAGAACAGTGGTCTCACACCAGTAAGAAAACAAATTTATGCTGAAGTTTGCTAGCACACAGGTAATTCTGAGGTAGAATGATGAATGATCTGTGCCAGTGTGCAGAAAAGTAAATAGCACAAGGTCAGCCCCTCTGTTTGGGTGTAAATTGGCTGCAATAGCCAGCTAGGAATCAAAGCAAGCAGCTCCAAAAGCTGATCTGCTTTTAATAATTCATTCCCTTCACTTAATCATTTGACTTCTGTCACCGGAGCAAGACAGACCACTGTTTTATCTTCACGCATATTGACTGTAAAGTTTTAAAATGAACAATTCTTCAGCAGCATAAACAAGAATAATAAAATCTAATCGCTTGTGAACCTTTATGCTTTTGCAATACTTCTGCGGCATAAATTTGCCAGTCCTTTGCACAAAGATAACAAAGAAATAAAGTGCTCGAATTTGCAAATTAGCAGGCATAAAACACGGGGACATGCTCTTAGTGGAACTATTGGGATGCTCACGCCGGCGATAGGTTTGGAAGCGTCACTGTTGGGATCTGAGCTATAGATAAAGCGTTTGCAGTCTGCAGGCTGTGGACCTACAGAGCATTTCCTGCAGCACAGTGCTTTGCAGGGCTGCGCTGAGAAGTTCTTCTTTGGGACCCTTGGTGGAACCCTGGCTCCAGCTCCATCCATGCACATTAGCACTCGGTGCTGCCCCGCGTTTCCCTGCTCCAGCAGTCTGACAGACCCCATTACCTTTTCACATGCCATTTGCCTGCTGTCAGAAGCAAGAAAGCTTCGTAACAGGGAAACCTTTAAAGGCCACAGCCCACATATGTGTGCTCTTTACGCAGAGCCTCCTTCAAAGCAAAGACTTACTTCACATTTTCTCTTCCCACTCGGGACCTCCAGGGGACGACAGCTCCATAGCCATGCTCTCTGCCTACTTATGGATTCCGTGAGTACTCCCCCATTGCAAATCCTGGAGGATTTAATATCCACTCTGTAATCTACTGGCACCAACAGGCATTATCTAACTAAACCTTAAATTGAAAATGCTAGTCTTTCCATTTTCCCCAAGCCGTTGTGAAAAAGTCAGGCTCTTGTAGTCCAATGTAATTTACTCTGGCTCTAATTAAAATACGCCACTCAGCTACTGCTGGAAGGATGCTCAGCAGTGCTGTGGGCACACTGGGGCCACATGGCCCCCAGCTCTGCTTCTGCTGCTGTCCCGTGCATGAGCAGCACGCCAAGCTCTGAACACCTCTGCTTTGCTTTGGCTCACGTTTGGGTTCCCTCCCCATTCCCAGTAGTGGTCAGCATTGAAACTTCAGTTTCAGGTGTCCACAGAAGCACTTTGCACCCAGGGCAGGCATGGGGAAACTGAGATATGCATTCAGTGCAGACTGAGGCTGATGAAGCACATTTCTCACCTGGACCTTTCTGGATCATCATGCGTTTCCAAGGAAAAGAAACAAATTTCTGTGCTTCCTCCTCTCTCTCATTCATCATAGGCCATTTTGGCTAAATTGCCAAAGTCTAAACACAGGCCTGAAATTTACAATTATGACTTCCAAATTACTAGAAAAAAATAAAACTAAAAGCCTCCTTCCCAACCAAGGCTGTAGTTAATACCAGCTTTCCAAGTGATAAGGTACAGATCCTGCTTTGCAGTTATCAGTCCCCACCGACACGCAGTAAATGGGGAAGGCAGACTTTTGGGGGGCAGTCACTCAGGAGGTGCAAAAACAAAGATGGAATTGTAGAGCAGGTCCACCTGGTTCAGCAACCCATCTGACAGTGCCAGATGCTTCAAGGAAGATGTCAGTAGACAGATGTGGGATAAACTGTGTTTAGGGAGAGGTGTTTCCTCTTGACCCCACAAGTTTGTACTTAGCTTATGTCCTTCATTAATAACCTTTCTGGTATTTTTATATCCTGCTAGTTCCATATC